ACAAGCGTTGAACCGATTCTATATGATCAATATGGTTTTGATAAATTGGAAACCAAATTAAGGCACCATATTCAATTCTCGATCTGACTAGTGCGAAAAATAGAGCCTGTAACGTGTCGACACGCTTAAAGTCACGACAATTTCTGTAAATAAATCCATACGTCCGAAAGCATTTGGAAACCATATCATTTATATGATCGACAAAACTAAGCTTACAATCAAAGAGGATACCAAGATCTTTAATAGACTCATATCGCTTAATTAAAGTACCATCTATATTGTAAGAAAAGAGTATATCATCATGTTTTCTTGAGTAAGTTACGATGGAGCATTTATCAAGATTTAAGTAAAGTCGATTAACTGAGCACCAATTAACAACAGCTGTTAAATTGTTTAAAATAATATCCAGTAAATCGTAAGGCGGACTTTTAAACCGTTTTGGATTTATGTCCCTATAATAGAATGGAAATGGAAAACTTCAGCTTTTCCAACACGTCAAACTATCTCGCTTTAATGTGCTCTCGCAGTTCTAAAAATTGGTTATTTAACTTTGAGAATTTTTTTTTTTTGGTAATGTGTAATTGATGATTCTTATGAGCTAAAATTAATATATGTGGGGATACTTAAAACACAAGTAAAGAAGCATCGTATGCATATGTTTCTAGTGAGTTGTCCCATATAAATTTTTAAAGATTAAGCCCCTCCCGCACTCGCCCCGATCTCAATTGTGGTGATTTTTTTATATATTGTCAGACCGATAGGCGGAGCGTTATTGCAAAATCAATATTTCCCTACAAAAATTATTATTTCAAACATGATTTAAGTTTCTCGTTGTGAAAAAAAGACTACGTACATTAAGAAAAAAAAGGTAAACTATGAACCCCACCTACCCGCCCTGTCTCAGTTGTGATGATTTTTTTTATTCGCCGTTTGCAAAGCCCTTATTTTTCTAAGAGAAATTACCTTGTTAAACAGGTCCTTAAGTAATCGTCTTGTTCAAAGAAAAAGATGAATATATGATCGTTTTCCGGGTTAATTGAGTTTTTTGGCTCAACCTTAAGATTTATTTCTTATTTCAGAAGAATAAAATTAGAGAACGGGTGGGTGGGCGGGGCTAAGTTATCTTTTGCCTACAGTCTTTTACAAGAAAGCAATAGCCCCGCCCACCCGCCCCCTCTTCGTTCCGGTGACTACTCTTAATATTGTTCAGTCATTCACCAAAATTAGTTTTATCTCAACAAATACTAACCCCTCCCACCCGCCTTCTGTTTTCTTAGAGGGTATGTCATTTGCCTAAATTCGTCTTATCTCAGCAAGTACTAGCCCGCCCACCCACCCTCTGTTTTCTTAGAAAGTATGTCATTTGCAACAATCAGTCTTATCTTAGCAAGGACTAGCCCCGCCCACCTATCTTGTTCTTATTTTAACGATCTTATTTCTGTTCAGTATAAGATCCACTTTTCATTCACACTAGATAAAATGAATCACTGAAATAGGGACAGGGTGGGTGGGCGGGGTTAATTATTAAGTGTTCGTTTGTAGAGTGAGAATGGGAACTAATAAAACATAGGCTTTTAAAAATAAAAAAAAAGCGCTAATCGTAATTTTTTCAGTATACTATATGCTATAATATTTATTTCTTATTTCAGCACAATAAAACTAGAGAACGGGTGGGTGGGCGGGGTTAAACTTTTTCTACAGTGTTTTACAAGAAAGCAGTAGCCCCTCCCACCCGCGCCCATTTCATTCCAGTGACTACTCTTAATATTGTGTAGTCATTCACCAAAATTAGTTTTATCTCAACAAATATTAGCCCCTCCCACCCGCCTTCTGTTTTCTTAGAGGGTATGTCATTTGCCTAAATTCGTCTTATCTCAGCAAGTACTACCCCGCCCATCCACCCTCTGTTTTCTTAGAAGGTATGTCATTTGCAACAATCAGTCTTATCTTAGGAAGGACTAGCCCCGCCCACCTATCTTGTTCTTATTTTAACGATCTTATTTCTGTTCAGTATAAGATCCACTTTTGATTCAGACTAGATAAAATGAATCACCGAAATAGAGGCAGAATGAGTGGGCGGGGTTAATTATTATGTGTTCTTTTGTAGAGTGGGAATGGGAAGATTATTTATTTCTTATTTCAGAAGAATAAAATTAGAGAACGGGTGGGCGGGCGGGGTTTATCTTTTTCTACAGTCTTTTATAAAACAGCAATAGCCCTTATTCCTAATGTCTTAACCCTGCTCCTGAAGATCCCACGTACGAAAGTGTGTAAAACGCTGAGCCCAAAAACTCAGTTAACACGGGCCCAACCCGGAAAACGTATTGACTACGACCGTGGAAGTCTCCGAAACTAAAATTATGAGTGTTAGGTAAAAAAGAAATCCTTAACATTAAGCCCCGCCTATACCCGCCGGTCTCAATTGTGATACATTTTTCATTCGTTGTCAGACCCAGGGGCGGAGCGTAATTTCAAAATCCATTTCCCTCAAAAATTGACCATTTTAAACATGTTTTAAGTATCTTGTTGTCAAAATCCATATTATTCTACAAAAAATTACCATCTAAAATGTTTTCTTGTTGTGTAAAGAAGACTGCGTATATTAAAAAAAAAAGATTAAGTATGCGCCCCGCCCACCCACCCTGTCTCATTTGTGATGATTTTTTTTATTCATCGTGAGCCGTGGAACGGATTTTATTTACAAAATACTTGTTTTTCTTGTGAAGCATGTTCTTAAATAATCATGATGTTCAAAGCAAACAATGTGCATTAAGTAAAAATGAAAGCCAAAGATTAAGCCCCTCCTATACCCGCCCGCATCTCAATTGTGATAAATTTTTCATTCGTTGTCAGACCGAGGGGAGGAGCAAAATCCATATCTCTCTTCAAAAATTGACCATTTTCAACATGTTTTAGGTTTCTTGTTGTGTAAAGAAGACTGCGTATATTTAGAAAAAAAAGGTAGAATTTGAGCCCCGCCCACCCACCCTGTCTCAATTGTGATAATGTTATTTAGTCGTCGTTAGCCAAAGGAAGAATTTTATTTGCAAAATCCATATTTTTCTACGAGAAATTATCTTAAACAAGTTCTTAAATAATAGTGTTGTTCTAAGAAAACTATATGTATTATGTAAAAAACAAAGCAAAAGGGTAAATCCCGCCTATATTCGTCAAAACCTCAATATTGACGAATTTTTCATTCGTTGTCAGACCTAGGGGCGGAGCGTAGTTACAAAATCCATATTTTCCTACAGAAATTAACATTGTAAAAATATTGAGCCCCGCCCACCCGCCCTATTTCAATTGTAACGATTTATTTTATTCGTCGTGAGCCGGGGGTCGAATCTTATTTACAAAATTCTTATTTCTCTAGGAGAAATTGCCTTGTATTCTTAAGTAATCATGTTGTTCAAAGAAAACTATGTGCAGTGATGAAAAAAGAAAGCCAGAGATTAAGCCCCTCCTATTCCCGCCCGGATCTCAATTGCAATGAATTTTTCATTCGTTGTCAGACCTAGAGGAGGAGCTTTTTGCAAAATCCATATCTCTCTACAAAATTGACCATTTTCAACATGTTTTAGGTTTCTTGTTGTGAAAAGAAGACTGCGTATATTTAGAAAAAAAAACGGTAGAATTAGATTAACACTGTAAAGATGTTAAGCCCCACCCACCCGCCCTATTTCAGTTGTAACGATTTATTTTATTCGTCGTGAGCCGGGGGACGAATCTTATTTGCAAAATTCTTATTTCTCTAAGAGAAATTGCCTTGTGGAACATGTTCTTAAGTCATAATATTGTTCAAAGAAAACTATGTGCAGTGGGGAAAAAAGACAGCTGAAGATTAAGCCCCTCCTATACCCGCCCGGATCTCAATTGTAATGAATTTTTCATTCGTTGTCAGACCGAGGGGAGGAGCTTATTTGCAAAATCCATATCTCTCTAGAAAAATTGACCATTTTCAACATGTTTTAGGTTTCTTGTTGTGAAAAGAGGACTGCGTATATTAAGTAAAAAAAAGGTAAAATTTGAGAGGCGTTAAACAATGTTTTACCAAAATTTTGACCTGACCTGACTTGACCTGACCTTACCTGACCTGACTGGACCTAACTTGACACGATCTGACCTGACCTGAGCTAGGTGGCAAAAATAGAAAAAAAAGTACCGTTATTTTAATAGTTAACAGTAGAATATATTCTGATCTAGCAAACGTTGAGCAAAATTAAAATCGACGAAACTGTTGTAGGTCTCTTTTAAATAAAAATCCAAAAAAAATTCGAAATTGTAGATAATATCTCGATAATTAACAACTCCAGACTTGTAGCGAGTTTTCAGTACGACACAAGTTTTCTTTAAAAAATGTTTTCAGTGTGTAGTTACATTAACTGCTGTTGTATTATCCAAAGTCACGTGTTTACTGATAACTCTGAATATAAATACAATATAGCCTGGCTATTTTCCGTCATTCCGAACCAATAACTGAAAATGTATTTTCTTCGCTGCTTAATGCTCGCCATACTCATAGCTCATTCCCTGGTAAGTGATTTGAAATTCACACTTTTCCGACAATTTTAATTTCATTTAAGGCACTAAATGTCGACCAAAAACTATACATCGAAGACGCCCTGAAAGAGTGTATTCAAGCGGGGACGTCACAAAAAATTAACGGTCCCGGAATTGATATTTCAAGAGTGGGAAATATCAACGACTTAAAAAATTTTATTTTCTGTGTGTTCGAGAAACAACAGTTGATAAATACAGATGGATGTCCGAATCGAGAAAGCTTAAGGAGATTTATTGAAATAGCCGCATCTGGTGAGGAAATAAACAGAATTGTTAAGGAATGCATCAAGCAAAAGTCAAATAATACAGCAACTGAATGAGTACTCTTCAAGTGTTTGTACCTGAAATTCAGTACCTTGATTTGTTTTATGTTTGTGCAATAAATGGGTTTCAAGGATTTTGTTTTCTCATTTAATTTGTTTTATATGTTACTTACTTACCTCACTAGGGGCGTAAAACCACCACGTATGCAACTGCAAATAAAGAACGAAACAGTTAGTAACAGATCATAGAAGACATTACGATTATCGTAAACATAGTAAACTCTTTATTCCCGCCCAAATTTTGATGACGTCGCTTTAAAAATTTGCTTAGTAATTCCATTCGAAGAGTGTACAACCATTATCTGCACGTGAATTCGATTAGCTTTTCCTGATAACTACTACATACTAGCGCTTTTATTTTAAAATACAATGATAAAATTGTGGACGCTTAATTACCAAGGTAATTATGTCCACACATTCCATAAGTCAACACGAAACCCCTTTTATGTTTTATCTTTCCTTAACCATTAACATTTTTTAAATAATAATTTAGACGCTAAAACGACAAATAAATAAAACCCTCAGTAAATTTTATTCGGATGTAATAAAGGTAGATTTGCGAAATTGAATTTCGGTCTTTTTCAAATTCCGGCACCCACTCTTTTCCAATAATTTAATTAGGTAGTGACAACAGACACGTACGAACCGTAATTACGCAATTGTCAAGAGGCCTGCGAGGTGTCCTTTACAAGGCCCGCGGCAGGACGAATTTCAGCTATAAATTATTTTAGACGTCGAGTGTGAGTTTCAGACATGAGACAAGTAATAAAGTTGATCCTTTAATATCCTTCCGTGCGCCGAACGATCCCTGCTCACCGCAGGAATTCCAGATTAAAAGGGCAATTTCCTGAATTTTTCACTCTTAAGTAATTCACGTAGGTATCCCGTACAGCGGAAAATCTAGTAGCTCTAGGGAAAATAATAATGTTAGAAAATATATTTCTCTGTTCCTTGTTCAGTTATGTGTTAGTCCAAGTTCGTCTGGCTGGAAAAACCTGAGTTTCTTTGGAAGTTGTAACAAAAACGCGGAATTTGAGGTTTTTAAGAAAATTGGATTGGGTAATGAAAATGGTGAGTCGATTGAAGGACTGCGAGCTGGGGTAGAGCAACAGCTAATAGTAATCAGGAAACTGGCAAAATTATTCAGTGTGTGGTGAAAGCGAAATCCTGAAGAAGCGTCTTCGGTGTAATGAATGTTTGCATACAAATAACTGTTTTTTTTTCATGTGAAATTTTTTGTACTCGATTCATGCTAGCTTTTTAATTTTAGAAATTAGGCATATGGTTGATCAAAAATTAATAAACTGATTGGCTTCTTATTATTCCTAATTGTACTTAAAGAAACACAAACATTAACAATGTCAAGAAAGCAGTAATCGAGAAAATTGTATAAGCATTAAAATCTATTGATTAGCAAACTATTTGTTCAATTTACATTTATCATCTGTAATTTTACGTTAATCAGTACTAGTATTATTACTATAAAACATGGAAATATGTAATTATCGTTAGTCCGATGCTCAGATGTTAGTTTTATTTTTTTACAACGTGTCATACTTTTTAAATTAGAAGTTATTTTAGAATTTCTACGAAAATTCCAACGATTTTTCTAGAATAGATAAAAAACCGAATTTTTCAAAAATCTTGGTCCGGCGTCATTAATGCTTCATTTTTTGAAATCAATCCGCCGACATTAATATCCCAGAATTTTTTGAGGATTTTTGGGTGAGTTTTCGAAAATGTCAATTTTTCAACACATTTTTTTTTTTCTAGTACCTTTTGCAAATACCTAAAGACATTTTGTTTGTAGATTTCGACTTGCAGAAGTTATTTTCGTCTTCATTTTTTTCGAAAATTCGAACAATAAAATCAAAATTGACAATTTTTGAAATAGTAATAAAATTTCGAATTTTTCGAAAATCTTGGGCCAGAACTATCAAAAGTTATGTTTTTCGATAAATCGTCGAATGTATTTCCCAGATTTTTTTGACAATTTTTAGTCCACTTTTCAAAAATCATGAATTTTTTGACTGTTTTTCGAACACCTTTCGAAAATTATTGAAAGATATTTTCTTGTAGATTCGACTTGTTGAAGCTATTTTCTGTTTCATTTACTACGAAAATTCCGTTTTTCCAAAACAGATAAAATGAAAAATGACAATTTTTGAGATATTTAAAAAAATCATTTTTGGATCTAATTTTTTGAAACTCTTGGTCCGGGAGTATCAACATGTTGTGTTTTTTGATACAACAGTCCAAATATACTTCCTAGAATTTTTTAACAATTTTGGACAACAAAATCTAAAGAGATTTTCTTGTAGATTTCAACTTATAAAAGGTATTATCGATTTTACTTTGAAGAAAATTTTTCAGTTTTTTTAGCCAGCTTTTCAAAAATCTGAAATTTTCAACATGAATTTTTTTACCCTTTTTCGACATCCTTCGAAAATTATCTAAAGACATATTCCTGTAGACTCCGATTTGCTAAAGTTATTTCCGACTTCATTTTTTTCGAAAGTTCGAACAATAAAATCAAAATTGACAATTTTTGAAATAGTAATAAAATTTCGAATTTTTCGAAAATCTTGGACCGGAACTATCAAAAGTTATGTTTTTCGATAAATCGTCGAATGTATTTCCCAGATTTTTTTGACAATTTTTAGTCCACTTTTCAAAAATCATTTTGAAATTCATTTCAAACAAAATTTTTCGAAAATCTTTTTCTGGACTCATCAGTCCGTTGTTCTCTTGTCGAAGTCGTTATCCAAGAAGGATTTTTGGGCAAGTTCTTAAAAATTTTCGGCTTTATTTCTTCAAAACTCCTCCAAATTGTCCAGAATCCATAAAATGAATAATAACAATTTTCGAGATATTTTGAACAAATTTTTCAAAAATATTGGTGCGGACCCAATATTTTGAGAATTAACTCTTTGAAATTTTTTGAATTTTTGGGCGACTTTTCTGATCGTGTTTCGACCTCATTTCTACGAAAAATTCAACAGTATTTCTAGAATTCATAAAATGAAAAATCCCAATTTTTCAAAATTATAAAAATATTATTTTCAAAACGAATTTTTCGAAAATTTTGACCTGGGACCAACAGCACACTGTTTTTCGAGTCAGCTCGTATAAATGTATTTCCGATAATAATTTTTCAAAAAAATCAATTTTTGGAAGATCTTTTGGCTGGTTTTTGAGCACCTTTCAAAAATTAGCTAGACATTTTCTTGTAGAATTCGTCTTGTTGTTATTTTCATTTTCAGTTCTTAAAAGTCCAGCAATTTTTCCAGAATCGATAAAATCAAAAATGACAGTTATGGAGATAATTATTTGAAAAAATGGAACTTTCTAATCGAATTTTTCGAACATTTTGGTCCGGGACTATCGATATATTATGTTTTTCGATAAATCGTCAAAATGTATTTACCAGATTTTTTGACAATTTTTAAGCAAGTTTTCAAAATCTGCATGAATTTTTTGATTAATTTTCGAGCACCCTTCGAAAATTACCCAGACATTTTCTTGTAGATTCGATTTGTTGAAGCTAATTTTCTAGAATCGATAAAATGAAAAATGGCAATTTTCGAGATATTAAAAGAAATGGTTTTGGAATCGAATTTTTCGAAAATCTTGGTTCGGGACCATCAATATGTTATGTTTTTCGATATAAGCGTCGAATGTACTTCCTAGAATTTTTTAGCAATTTTTAGGTAACTTTTCAAAAAATCTCAATTTTCCAGCATCGTCCTGTATGAATTTTTTAACTTTATTTCGAGCGAAAATTACCCAGAGATTTTTTTGTAGATTTCGACCTGGAGACGCTATTTTCGGCTTTATTTTTTAAATTTCAACAATCTTTCCAGAATCGTCAAAATAAAAAACGACAATTTTTGAAATATTTAAAAATCCCATTTTCAAAACGAATTGTTGGAAAATGTTGGTCCGGAGTCAACAGGCGTTATATTTTCGGATTCAAGATATCGAAATAAATATCCCAGATTTTTTTGAGAATTTTTGACAACACGAATTTTTTGACCGTTTTTGCAGTGTCCTACCAAAAATTCCTAAAGATATGTTATTGTAGATTCGGACTCGCAAAATTTATTTTTGGCCTCATTTCTAGGAAAATTCCAACAATTTTTCCAAAATTTAGTGACGATTTTTAAAATGCAAAAAATTTCATTTTAAACCAAAATTTTCCAAAATCTTTTTCTGGGCTAAATCCGTTATGTTTTTGGAATAAGATCGTTCAAATCGACATCCCCGAATTTTCTGAAGATTTTTGAGCAAGTTTTAAAAAATGGCTTTATTTCTTCGAAAATTCGTGCAATTTGTCCAGAATCGGTAAAATGAAAAATTACAATTTTCGAGATGCTTAAACCAAATTTTTCAAAAATATTGATCCGGGCCCATCAGTGAGTCATGTTTTGTGAATTAGCTCTTCGAGAAATTTTTTTGGATTTTTATGCGACTTTTCAAAAATGAGATTTTTTTCAGTATTCATTTTTTGATTGTTTTTTGAACAGTTTTCGGAAATTACCCAAGAGATTTACCTATAGATTTCTACTTGTAGAAGAAAATTTGCTAGAATCATCAAAATAAGAAGCGCCAATTTTTAAAATGTTTCAAAACCTCATTTTCAACTGTTTTTTTCGAAAATCTTTTGTCCGGGGTCATCAGAGCGTTATATTTTTGAAATCGACTCATCGAAATCAATATCCCAAAATTTTCAACACGAACTTTTTGAGCGTTTTTCGAGAACCCTTTCAAAAATGTTTAAAGATATGTTCTTGTAGATTTCGATTTGTAAAAGTTATTTTCGGCTTCACTTCTACGAAAATTCCAACAATTTACCCAAAGTCGTCAAAAAAATTGAAAAGGTTCAATTTTTGAAATATTAAAAAAAATTCATTACAAACCAAATTTTTCAAAAATCTTTTTTCAGGGTCATCAATTCGTTATGTTTTTGGAATAAACACGTCGAAACCGATATCCCAAAATTTTTTGAGGATTTTTGGGCATTTTTTCAATATGATTTTTTTTTAACGTTTTTGGGTACCCTACGAAGTTACCAACGACATTTGTTTGTAGATTTTGACTTGTAGAAGTTATTTACGGCTATATTTTTTCGAAAATTCCTTAAATTTTTC